TGCTTAGATTGGGTATAGATGGTTAGATACAAGTGCGACAAATTTAATTGATGCACTGATTCAATATCGAGGTGAATATGTAAAATTATATGAATCCATTGAGCATGTTGAGAAATTGGTAAAAAATTATTGTGTTTCGACACTTATGCCTTATACAATAAGTGGATGACCTTCCCTAATATGGGTCATTTGATTGTCTCACGATATAATGTCATATTAGTTCACATTAGTTTGAGACAGTACTTGACCTATCTCTTGATTAGATCTGTACCGCCTGCACCATTAGAGCATATAGTCATTACAATTGGATTTGTAAATAATTATCATTTTATGTAGGTACCATTTATTAGATTTGATATTTATCATTCTTATTATTTATAATCACATTATAATTGATACATATCATATCTTGATATTTATTATATCTATTTATTTTGTGCAGGAGTTTATAAAGCCATTTTCACCAATACTTCTAATTGCATGCAACTGATGGAGGTTTAGATATGAATGTGTTGGAGGATGAGAGGCTCTATATATTGTGTGTATAGAGGATTTTAAGTTATTATTTAGCAAAAACTCTGATGTAGCCACCTAAGAAACAATTAAAATTGATTAATGACTTTAAATGAATATTTTGTATTTATTAAGATGTTTTATTTGATATCTTATATTTTTATATTTAATAACTTCTTTAATGCATATGTTGTATGTCAAATATCATATATGCCTACATAAATAAACAATAATGGTAGGGGAAGTAATCATATGAAAAGATAATTATAATAACATAATGTACGTCTGAGGTTTACAATAATAAAATTCTACTCCCCAAACCTTAGGTCTTTAAGTTTGGACATATATATGATGTGATGGAGCAAATAGACCAAAAGAGGCTAAATTTGATGTTGGGGATCAGGTGGTGCTATTATTGATGCTATAAAAGAAGAGTGTAAGGAATCGAGCAATGCTCCTGACGATGGTGAAGATAAGATGTGCAAGGAATTAGGCATGCTACTGTCGGGGCTGGAGGTCAGGAGAAAGTGGGATCAAACACTAGAATCAAAGATAGTTTGGCAATTGATGTATGCGACCCAAACAAAATGTCATGTGCTTTCAAAATTGAATTTCTTCATACATCAAGTCCCTAATGTAGACCATAAAAAATAGTGGTCCGAAGAACTGCTAATGCTTGTAAGCTCACTTACAAAATTTTAATAAGGAAAATCAATATTCAAAACATGTAATTGGGTATATTGTATAAGTAATTAGTACCAAAGTTATAACTTACTGTATCCCTAGAATAACTACTAACAATCGGGCTATCGGGATATACTAAAATTTAGATTTATGCATTGGATTCTGAATGTACTAATGAGAAACTAATGCATACCAAGCATAATAAATCGATGAAGACTTGTTTGGTGTAGCAGATCTATACATTTAATGATCGATAGGCAAAACATGTATGTATCATCAATCCCATAATTTATGCAAAAAGTTATGCGCCACCTCATACATATTGGAGGTCGCACCACAGTCAGCTCCACACGGAGTTAGAAGAGTTAGAGGAATGGTCTATACATATTCGAACTATCCTAATACCTTCTCCAGATGATATGGCTTAATGATAGCCTCGCACATTATACATACAAAAAAATAAAAAATCTCCAGTAAAGGGTGATGTTTTGTTGCATTTCATAAAGATTCTAACACATTCAAGCTGATGGTAAGTCATCTAGCTACTCTTGTAGTTGTTGTAGTGAATTAGAATATGTACATGGCTTCCACCACTGAGCATAAGGCTGATCATCAAAATATTCATTGTTAGCTACTGGATTAAGCATAGAAAAGTGATCATAAATCTAGGCCAATATTTATATTAAAGAAACATAAATTATATAATCTAGATACATGAAGAAATGTAATATAAACAAATATAATTAATATATAAATCATTAAACTAATGTAATTAATAGACATAAATAAATGTAATATAACTAGCAATTTGATGAACCTAAGCTCTGCTTGTTATGCCAAATTGCCTAAATAAATACGTTAGGCAAGATGCCCCCTAAGTATATGTACTGATGGTGCTCAAGTTGCTAAATAAATGTAAATACCACACCGATAATTTATTTCTTCTCTTGTTGACAAAAAGCATGCATCCTAAGAGAAAGAGTAAGAAAGCTTTGGTAGCGTACTTCACATCTCAATCAAAAGCACTATCGGTAACACTTCTAAATGTATTCTGTAACCATTATAGCTTGATAGATTGACCATGAGAAATCTTCATCTTAGTGGATGCCACATCATCTGAGACTCTAAGCAACCTCACCAATAACACCTTCGCCTCATCTGTCGTCAACTTTTAAACTGATAGCATCGCCCCCCCTAACAAGTATGTGGAGAATCGCATATATATCATCCAATGTGATCGTCATCTCATTGAATGATAGGTAAAAGGTATTTGTCTCCGACTGCCACTGCTCAACAAATGTTAACACTATCTTATTGTTGGACATATGATAGGTGTAATTGATCAAATGTAGCAATCCTGACTCAACAATGTGATGAGTAATACATTGCTAAGAAGTATCTAGAGGCCAATGTTGTAACTTTGCCCCCATGATTAATTACTTTTAAGATAATTGGCTATTATAAAAACAACAACAAATAAAAACTAATTAATAATTTTAAGTACATTAAGTAAGTAGCAAAAGTAAGCATCAATCATTAATCTTATTTAATTTATTGCCTAGCCATTCCATATTTGTGCTGCAATATGAGTTTCGAAAGCTTGAAAGCAAAAAGTACCCATCGACCCTCTAGGAAATGGCTCTAGGGGATGAATAACCAACTCTGTGGGATAAACATCCTATTGCTCTATGGGCTGCTTTGCCAAATCAACATCCGACTGCTCTGTGGGATCAATAACCTACTCATGTACATAATCATTAGCTTGTCCGTCTCTTCTTAAAGGCAGTCGAATGCTTTCGAATATCGATTGTAGCATGTCCACTACCTCGATTAATGTCTGCTCCTTCCATTTGTGTCATATCTATTTTTACAAATATTAAATGATAACATAAAAGCAAACATACATGACTAACGATTACATAATAACACATGTATATAATATCAAAGTATTGTGGGTTTTCATACATTTGTAAGGGATTTCTAAAAATGAATTTTCGAAAGTTTTTGAAGGTTTTCGAATATCCATTTTTGAAAACCTTTAAGAACTTTAGAACATGGATCTATAGAATTTCTTAATGGTTTTCAAAAATGGATTTTCAAAAGTTCTTAAAGGCTTTTAGATATCCATTTTTGGAAATCTCAAATAACTTTAAAAAATTCTTAAAAGCTTCCGAGCATCCATTTTAGAAAACTTCAAATAACTTGCAAAAATTCATTTTTGGAATTTTTGAATCGCACCTAAAGTTTTAAAATCTTAAATCTTACGAAATCAAATAAAAAAGTAAAAAGAACAAACGATTTAACTCTTATGCTAAGCTTTGTAACTTTGAATGGGTGAAATTTTCTTTGAATGTGGCTTGATTAGGGCTTAATCCTTTAGGGTTTTTGGTTTAGGATATGAGGGAAATGAGATGGGGTGTTTGAGTTTTTAGTAAATTTGAATTTAAAGTTTGAAATGTGTTGAATAAAAAATGAACTGTCAAAAGTAAGGGTTGTGTTGAGAAGATTTTGGGATGCAAATAGCAACTATCTTATTTTAATGCTAATTTCAACAATCCGTTTGGCTGGAGTCCTAACTTTTTTCCAACAAAATTTGGATCTAATAAGGCTCAAGAGTTTTGAGGACACTACCCAAGAAATATTGAGCTATGTGCTTTAAAGTTTCGATCTTGAGCCTAGACCATCATAATTAAACTCTAAATCAGTACTAGGTCCAAATCGAATTAAAGTTAGTATGGATTTGTCTTTTTTTTTTTTTTTATAAGGTAAGGCATTATCGTTGATATACAAGTTAAAAGTAACAAAGAGGAGTGGAACTTTAAGCAAATATCATTCAAGAACACAAGTAAGCATTAGAGGGAAACCTAAAGAGTATCTTGAAACCTTTTCTACTCAAACATTAACTTAATGATTATTATATTAAAAGTCTATTTGGATGAGCGATGAGATTTATTGTAGTAAAATTAAAAACAGTAATAAACATGAGATTAATTACTATAATGATAAAATTAAAATCAATGATGAAATATATATATTTAATATAAAATAATAGTAACAGTAAGATGAATTGTAGTAAGAAAAAATTATTTTTAAGAATATTATATTAAAATATATATAATAACAAATTTAAATTATTAATATTTATAAAATTAATAAAAATTAAAAATTATTTTTATAATAAATAATAATTATATTAATAATAATTAATAATTAATAATAATATATCTAATAATATTTTTATATTAAATTAAAAATTATTTAAAAATTTTAAATAAAAACGGACAAAATTAAAATGAAAGGATATGTTTGTATTTATAATAAAAGCTAAAGGATAAAAAAAAGTAAAAAAACATAATGAATTGCTCGGTGAGCCACTGTAATAAAAATGACCAGTGGCCAACGGGGATTATTTTTACCTCTCAGTGAAATCCAAACGGATGATTCTTGCCGTGCAGTACAGTTGGGCACAATTTGCCATAGCAATTGAGGGTGCGATTAAATTCTTGATTGACTTGTTTGATCAACCATGGCTTTTCTACGAAAAAGAAGTGTAGTTTTAAGTTCAAATAATCTTCCCCAATCATATCTAACATAGGAAGAATTTTAGTAATGTTTATCATTTAATCTTAATATTTCATTCAATTAAGTAAATATGTGTCAAAATTATATATTTATTATTTGTATAATTTTTGCACTTCACCTAAGTAAATGGAATAATAATCAGTAAAATAATTAGAAGTACACCTTTCTTCATCCTCTCAAATTTACAGTAAATCTATTTTATTTTCTTTATTTTAGAAGAGGGATTTAATAACTTATTGAACAAAAAAAAAAAGAGTGCGAGAAATCAATTTTTAGTAGTAATTGCATAAAAACGCGCCGTTTCATAGTAAACCCTGGTTACACTCCTTAATCCCTAGCACTTCTCCTCTGTTCTTTACACCAGCAAAAGCTGCAAAACCCCTGGGGGCAAGACTTTAACCAGCTCGAACTAAAAGTCTACAAACTCCCAATCAACTAGCTTAATCCCAGGTGAGTCCTCTCTCTTCAATTACCTATTTCTATTGTTCACAACGAAACTGTATCGATCAATGAACATTTCCTTTCCCGATAGACAGCTATCATGCAACTGGGTATTTTCAGCTTAATGGGTATTTCTCAACGCGAGAGCTCAACGTTTTCCGAGCTTTCCCTGTTTGGATATCCCAATCTGCTTGTGCATTTCTTGGATTTGTTGGGTATTTTGAAGATTCAAAAATAATGGGGTTGTCCCATTGCTTACTTGGTGCTAAAAATGAACTCTATAGCTCTATTGGGTACAAGAATTGTTTATAAATCTTGTTATATTATTGTTTTATCGAGAAAATTATGTAATGGTAGTTTTGATAGGGATAAAATTGTTAGTGAGTTATATTATTTGGAGGAACCCTTGAAGAGAATGTGGAAGGGTTCCAGTTTTGACTCTGTTTTCGATGAAAATCACGATGATTTTGGGGGTTATGGAAGCGGCCCTGAGGACCGTTTTTCAACGAGGCAAGGGTTTTTCGACAGTGGAAGGGATGATGCTAGGAAAATTCTTGAGATTTTACAACAAGATGGGCCGGAATTTGATGCAAAAGCTGCTCTTAGTGAAATGCAGATGAGGGTCTCCGGGTTTCTCGTGAGAGAAGTTCTTGTGGGAATTTTGAAGAACATAAATTATGCGAATAAGTCCAGATGTGCAAAACTAGGGTACAAGTTTTTCGTGTGGTCTGGTCATCAAGAAACTTATAGGCACACTGCAAACTCGTATCATTTGATAATGAAGGTATTCGCAGAATGTGAGGAATACAAGGCAATGTGGAGAGTAGTAGATGAGATGATCGAGAATGGCTTCCCAACAACAGCGAGGACGTTTAACATTTTGATATGCACATGTGGAGAGGCAGGCTTAGCTAGGAAAGTTGTGGAGAGGTTCATCAAGTCAAAGACATTCAATTATAGGCCGTTTAAGCATTCATACGATGCCATTCTGCATACACTTCTTGCTGTGAACCAGTACAAGTTGATTGAGTGGGTGTACCAGCAAATGTTAGCTAATGGTTTTGCCCCAGATACTCTAACTTATAATATTCTTTTGTGTGCAAAATACAGATTGGGGAAGTTAGATCAATTTCACAGATTACTTGATGAAATGGGTAGATGCGGATTTTCCCCTGATTTTTATACATATAACATCCTTCTGCATGTTCTTGGCAAAGGGGATAAACCACTTGCAGCACTTAATCTATTGAATCACATGAAAGAAGTGGGATTAAACCCAGGTGTTCTTCATTTCACAACATTGATGGATGGCTTGAGTCATGCTGGAAACCTGGATGCTTGCAGGTACTTTTTTGATGAAATGATAAAGAATGGATGCATGCCAGATGTGGTTTGCTACACCGTAATCATTACGGGATTCATTGTGGCCGGGGAGCTTGATAAAGCTCAAGAAATGTTTGATGAGATGATTGCCAATGGACAACTTCCAAATGTATTTACATACAATTCGATGATTCGTGGTTATTGTATGGCAGGAAAGTTTGAGGAGGCATGCTTCATGCTTGAAGAAATGGAAGCTAGAGGATGTAACCCAAATTTTGTTGTGTACAGTACCCTAGTGAGTCATTTGCGGAGTGCTGGAAGGCTTTCTGAAGCTCATGAAGTAATAAGAAAAATGGTTGAGAAGGGGCAATATGTTCATCTGCTCTCAAAAATCAAGAGATACAGAAGATGCTAGGTAGTAGATTGTAGGATATAAATATTGTTTATTGTAACTTAATTGCCATTATACTCGTTGGTTCAGCTATGCCAGCACCGCGTACATGCTGTTTGTGATTGATGTCAAGGGAGTAGAAAGGAAAGTACGCACATTCTTCTTTCCCGTCTCATATTTTGTTATTAATTTGTCTGAAACAATGAAACTCAATAGAAAGCTAAATTAATCCATCTTTTCCCTTCTTAATCAATGAGATTTAACTCCCCCTCCCCCCCCCCCCTGTTCAGTTGGCTTCAGTGTGCAATCAAATTTTCTTAAAAGTCTCTTATGGAATGAATAATTAAAGATAGTTGACTTGTTGTTCAAATCTAATTTACTGGACTGTAAATTGTGAGAATCTAGGATCTGGATTGAGAGTTGAAATTTTCAGTTTTGTATTTTCACTAATATGTAAAAACTATCCTAGATGCTGCCAACATACTCTATGTATCTGCCTAATCTGCTCTTGGCTTTTCTTTTCTTTTCTTTTGATTCGTGCTCTTTTCCCCTTTTCTTTTATTGTTCTATACTTTTACTTTCTATGTTGTAACCTATAACTTTACCTCATCTTGGCCACCTGTTTGAGCCAGGGATTAGGCATTTTAAAAATTAATGGTGAGTGGAGTCCTTGTGCCATTAAGGGTTGTGCTAGCTTAGGTATTGCCTTGGAGGATTAGACATCAGTAATAATTGTTTGTTAGTTCTGAAAAGCATGAAATGGAAAATATAGGAGTTGAAGTTTCTTTAAGTAGACTGACGTACTCTGTTTCCTCTAAAAATACAGTCTCTCCTAACAGGAGATAAGCAGCGTTTTCTCTTCCCAAGAGTCAAAAGAAAGTGAGCTGTTGGCTGGTGATGGTAGTGCCATTGGTGGTGAGCTGGGCAGTGGTCACATGAAGGTGACAATGGCAGTATTGCAGTGGAGCTTGATTTTTCTGGGAGAGTTTCAGTGACAGTGAAGTTGATGTTTCTGAAGAATTAAAGAGGTTCAGTTTGCTAATCTTGAGACCTTCAATTCCCAACTAAGAAATGTGACTTATGATTCATCAATTGTAAGATTTGATTTCTTTCAAAGAACTCTAATGCGGTAAAGTTATACAGTTTCTAAGTTATTTCTTTGTTAATTATGGCTTCCTTTTCTTTAGGCCGGCATTTTCAGAAGATATGCCTAGATGTTCCTTCTTTACTTTTATTTGCTCCTCCCTGTCAAGATCTGTATCTGAGTCATATGTAGACATGCACAACTTTGTTCATTATCATGTTGTTCATAGTCAAGTCTCTTAATTCTCTCAGATATTGTCTGAAACTGAAAAAGAAGAAAGGTTGTTTTTCATTGAGAACATAGAGAATGTTGTTTTCATTGGAGGGCGATTAAATAATAATTATGCTCTTCTATTTTCTTGACATGCAGATATCAAATATTCCATGCATGACTGAGGAATTTTAGCCTATGCTGTTCCTATTTTTGCATCTCAGATTCGTGGTCATTGTGGATCAACTCAAAAGCAGCCTGTAAGGTTTTTCATCCCATTCATAATCTTTGTAGTGTCTCTAGACTTACAAGGCTGCCGTCTTCTCCATTCTTGCTGAATTCCAATTTTGCTTGTGTCACAGACAGATTTAATGCAACAAACAGAGGGGAAAATCTTAAATGACTTGACAGAAGATAGGATGACATCCCCAGCTAGTATTGAGTGTTTTTTCTTTTTTTTTTTTGTTTTTGTAGGGTTACATGGAACATTGCCATTGATCCCTGGGGGAGGATGTTGGCCTCAATTTGGCGATGATATTTCATCACCATCCTTCATTACAAGTGTAAAACGTCTCACTTGAATAAGGTTTTATTCTTTTGGCTTTAGGTATTGCAACAAGGAAGAAGAAATGTGCGGTTAGGTTGAACAGAATGGGGGCCTTCAGGCTCCTACCACATTAACTGCTTTTTGACTTTGTTTCCCTTAGATTACATAAAAGCGCTTGATGCCTTTGTGCAAGCATCTACATTGCGATATTTGGCCGTCCTCAAGTTCAATGCTCTATCCTCGTGTAGTCCCAAGCTTTGATTTGGAGAAGATGGAAGATACCTCGTTGTAGTTGACTTCCAGGGATTTGGTAAGATTACAAGGAACCTGCTCAAAGGTTCATATAGCTAGCTTTTACAAGGAATAGCCTTTTATATTATTGATCTCCTTTGAGCTGGTCATTCTTTTTGGTCTTTTTCACTCTGCTGAGGCCCAGAGTGACAACAATAATAAGACGTGTTCATTCTAGAGTATGTAGCTAAGTTTGGGTTTTCGATGTCTCAATTTCTCCTGTAGTAAAGGCATATCATTGTTTCTTTGGGATGATGATTTATTACTTTACAGGATTGGATAGGAAGCAGATATCTTTCTTGGTTTGAAAACCAGAGTCATCACTGTCACTCATTTTACCAGAACGACATTGCAGGCTGTTGTTATTCCTTGGTGGTAACGTCATTAGCATTTTGACTGCCACATCATCGGTGCTCACACATGGCTTCAAATAATCACAACTCACACTTCGCTATGGCTTCAAATAAGATAAACACAACTCACACATGGCTTCAAAACGTGTAGTCATATGTTCAGCTAATCACATCACTATTTACAAAGCAAAAAAGGAAGAATAAAATCAGACGTACATTTTTACTTTACACTTTATTCTTCCTTCTTTGCTTCTTCCCTCTTACTCAAAAACTTAATTGACTTGCCGATCGAAGTGTATTTTGGAATGTTACCTCTGGCACCTCTTAGCTCTATATTTTTTAAACAGGTTTGACAGGCGCTCTCTCGTCAGACTAGGAATGATAACAACACAAGCGAACACAGTAAGCAGTTTTCCATTTTATTATGTATATTTTAATGTTAAAAACATGAATATCCTGGGAAAATAATAACTACTTATCTAAAGCTTAATCTCTTTAACTTTATGTTTAGTTCAAATGGGGATGGTAGATTATGTAAGTAGATAGCATGCATAAAAAAGTGAACATATGAATCGTGAATCCTCATCAATCCACCTTTTTTGCTCTATTTTATTCTCTTATAAGTTTCATAATAACTATAAGTTTAAAATTAATGGTTGCAAAATTTTGTTTGCCTTTTACTTGGAAAATCTCTTGGAGCGCCGGTTACGCAGTAAGAGCTTAATACGGTATATAATCGAGGCTTTCGCTTTTATGAATAAGAGGACTAGGACTGAGAGAATGTTGCACTAGACTAATCGTGCTCTTTTTAATTCCTTCCTAGAGAAGGACGATTTGCGTGTTTTGACTGCGACGTGCAATGCACCCTTTTTCCACGATTGAAAATGACCCCTTTTTTTTTTTTTTTTTTTTTCTTTTTGGATTGAGCTATTGGGGAGGAAGGAACACTCAACAACCCAAAGTAACTTCTTTGTAACTTCAATTTGTTTTAAGGATTTTCTTAAGGTATATTCTTTAATCTTTCAAGCATTCGGCAACAGAATTCTTTGTTCAATAACAAAACAAAACCGGCAAATCTCTCGTAACTCAAACTGCATAAATTAATTTTACATAAAAATTACATAATCTATCTAAATATCAACCATCTAATTACAGTCTGCTAAGATGACACGCTAACTTCTCTAAACCAAAACCCCTTTCACATTGCTCATGCTTGAATTTAACTCTTCTGCAGACAGGAACCTGGCCTCCTCCATCTCTCAAAACCTTATTTCTTTAACCTTAGAAGATGGGTTTTTTTTATTTTTATTTTTTCTGTTCCTTCTTTTCATCTTTCTTTTCCTCTTTCTTCTGTTCTTTCTTCTCCTCTTTCTTTTCCTTTGTCTTATCTTCTTTCTTCGCTTCTTTAGCAGGTCCAACTGATACTATGTCAACTTTGCCTACTTTCTTCAACTTCTTCACCACTGCCACTGCATCCATCTGTCCTACCACTGTCAGCTTCTGATCCTTTAGATCCGCCGCGATTGAATCAACTCCTATCACCCATAATTTTCACATTAACGAACTTGCCAAAAAAATTGTCTATTTGCTCTGATTTTTTATAGTATGCATAAAAGGCAACCAGAGATCCAAACGGTTTTATTATTAGATTAAGAAGTTAAGAGCAACTCCCCATTACTCTTGAGATTTCAAAGACAATCAAGATCTGAATTTTGACAAAGATTAAACTCACAAATCTTTATAGTGTAAGCAAATTAGTATATGGTAAATCATAAATATACCATAGATATCTGCAACAGCTTCTATGGCTTTTTGCTTGGTCTTGTCATCAGTCATGGTTAGAACTTTCAGGACCACCTTCTGCTAAAACAGTAGACATGAGACATAAAATAGGGTGAAAAAGGAAGAAGAATAACATCAACATGAAAATAAATAGTGCTTAGCAGAATCATAAAGAGCAAAGAGAAAATCACCTGAGCCATTTTACTGTGAAAAATAATGTGAAGATTGAGCAAATATGAAAATGAAATGAATTTTGAGGATCAATGGCCTTTATAAAGAGTGAAATTTGTGTACGAGTAGTCACAATCTTCACTCAGGCTTCAAGTGGATGCTTATTATTTACGGTTTCTGGCCACATGGCCAATTTTTGTCGATTATCAAATGGCAATTCATGTTTCTGCATCTCGTGTTATGTTTGACATTTGTAATAACACAAATGAATACGGATATGATATAAATTATAAAATATATTTAAATTTTAAATATAAATATGATATATTTATTTTATGTATTATATATGCCATAACATAATTAATATGTATATAATTAATTTTAAACACGATATAAATAAATATAAATAGGTATAACTAATATAGATATTTAAAAATAAATATAATTAACATAAATATATATAAAAGAACACAATTAAATTAATAAATAATTATTAATTATAATTATTTACAATTTAATAAACTTAATATATTAATAATATAAAAATATTTATATATTAAAAAAATAAAAAATACCCATTTAATATGTATATAATATATACATTTAAATTTTAATATATATTACATAATTATATTAATTTTTAGTATCAAATTTAAAATGATAAATTATTAAAGATTAAAAAATAAAATAATAATATATATGACTAATATTAATATTAATATTATATTTATATTATTAATATAAAAAATAATTTTATAATAATTATTAAATGAGTATTATAATTAAATATTTAAAATAATTTTTATATGATATTAAATAACTAATTAAGTATTATAATTAAATTTTAAAAATTAAAATAATTTTTATATATTTATATTAAATTAAAATAAATATAAAAATATGTTAAATATGTTAAAGATGTTAAACATATAAAATATGTCAAACGTGTATTAATATAATAAAATTAAATTAAATATATTATTTATATTATATTATATATTTAAACGTATTAATATATATAAAACATAAATTATGTGACGATAAAATTCATGCACAAATAAATATAAAATATATATTTTTAATACATATATATATATAATATTTTTATATTATTTTTATATCATTATCTAAATATAATTGAAAATATTAGGATAACAAATGTTAACTTGACGAGCATTTCGGCCACTTGATTGACTTTTTTTCTATCTTTTTACCCCCCATTGAAAAACAGGTGGCAGTCAAATCATCACTCTAATCGTACAGTTCCAAGTTTGTAACTAATGTTAATGATGTGAATATTAAATTAAATATAATATTTAAATTTAAAAAATTTTAATATAATATTTATATTATAAATTTATTAATTAATATAATATTAAAAAATTATTTATCTATTATTATTTAAGATTAATTATGTTAAAATTAATTATTAATTTATTAATATATTTATAATTTAAATATTAAAATAGATATTTTTAAAATTTACAATAATACATATTTTTTATAATTTAATGAGACAATAACCTTTATAACTATTGCTATTTTAAAAAAAAAATTAAACCTTATCATCAATATCTAAAGTTCTATTGACACTGAAAATTTCTTTTCAAAGAAATGACCAAATCTAGATTAGATCATGGACCATAAGCTTTGCTTTTAGGAGAAGTTTGGTTTAGAGAAATTTTTTTTTTTTCAAAATTTTTTTGTTAGATATTTAATTTTAACGTTTAATTTAAGATAATTTGATTTTGAAAGAAAGTGATTAATTTTTAATAATATCTAAAGTCTCAAAATAAAAAACTTATCTCTCTTTATGATATTATAAGATTTTGAAAGAAAAAGTTATGTTATTTTTAAATTTGATTTGAATAAAAAATTATGAAATAATTGTTATTATTTTGAATAATATGTTTGAAAATGACTGCAAGTCGGTTGTATGTTTCTACTACTAAATTTTTTTTTATATTGCAATTATTGACTTTTGGCATGAAAAACTCTTTAAATAATTTGTAAAAAAATTGAACAAGATTATTTAAAACATTTTTTTGCTAGAAAACACCTGAAATAATTTTCTAAAAAATTGATCAATATTATTTAAGGTGTTTTTTTTGGCAAAAAACGTTTTAAATAATCCAAAAAACATCTTATAAGTAATCCCTTAAAATTAAGGTTAGAAGGAATGGTCAAACCTACGATCCTATTATTAATAACTATATATTCTAATCAACTGAGCTACTCTATTTTTTTATATTTTATCTTTTAAATTTTATAAATAATAAAAAAATTATTTAAGATATTTTTTATCAAAAACACTTTAAATAATGCCCTTAAAAAATTTTTAAAAGATAATTTAAAGTATTTTTAGATCAAAAACTCATTAAATAATCTCCTTCAAAAAAATTAAAGCATTAGAAGAGGAGTCAAACTTATGACTTTATGATTAATAGCTATATGTTTTAACTAATTGGCTACTATGATTTTTTTATATTTTATATTTTAAATCTTATAACTAATAAAATAAATTATTTAAGGCGTTTTTAGTTAAAAACACTTTAACTAATACGATTAAAAAAATTGAAATGTATTATTTAAAATATTTTTAGTCAAAAATACCTAAAATAATACCCTTTAAAAAATTTTAAGTGATTATTTAAGATATTTTTAGACAAAAAATCCCTAAATAATCTTTTTTAAAAAAATAAAAGAGATTATTTAAGGTGTTTTTCAATAAAAAATATCTTAAATAATCTTTAATATTTTTTTATTGATATACTTTATAAATAAAAATAGTAATCAAATAAAATATTTATCTTCTTTTACTATAAAAAGTATAATTTGTTGTTTGGATATTTTTATTAATAAAAACTAATAAAAAGTTCACATCATAAATATCAAAAAAATTATGATAATTATTTAAAAATTAATATATGTAAGTTCCCTCAATTAAATAAGTGGATCTAAATATAAAATATTTTGAAAATGAAAAAAAAATTTGGATATCATATTTTTTTTCAAAATTTAAAATTTTTCGAATCAAATTACCCTTAATAATTTTTTTTTTTTAAAAGAGAAGTTGAGGAGAGATGAGTTATTTGATTCTCATACTAAAATGTAGATTACAAATGATTTTCATATTGAGAAGAGTCAGAATTCAAAATTCACTTACGATAAAATACTAGACAATCTTACCATTAAATCAATTTGTTGTTGACAACGTATTATTTGTATTGCAGCAATTCTTTCAAAATTTGGGTATGTCATCCTTTTGAAAACGGGGGGCTTTTGTTGTCATCCTTTTCAAGATTCTCCCGTTCAAACGGAAGCCTTTCCTCGCCTCGAAAGTGCCAACAATTAATTAAGAATTAATTTTAACTTTAGAAATTGAATTCTGAAAAAAATTTATATAAATTGATTTTTAAAAAAATAAAATATATAATTTACATCTAAAATTTTATAAAATGTATAATTTTTATATTAAAATTTTAAATTTTATATTATATTAACTCAAATTTTAATTTCGTTAAATATACAAATATATATATATATGATATTTAATAAATATTATCAAATTGATCACACATATTTTTATTTTTTTTTCAATAAAAAGATTCTTAAAAATATATTTTTCTTTGAATCCTAAAAATTATTTAGAATCTGTCAATTATATTTATCAAGAAATATTTATATGCTGTTTTTATAAAATATTTAATATTTTTATTTAATAAATAATATATATAATAAAATTATATTAATTAAATATTATATAAACTAGTTAAATTAATAGTATTAGCGTCCAATCATAAAAGGAAAATCTGTCGGCCATAGGAAACATCATTGTAGATATTAGACAAAAAGAGAAGACTTTTTGTTCATTTAGAGTGGGGACATGTTAGAAGGGGACAAATATAGCTGCTCACAAATTAGCTCAAGTAGGCCTGTAACACCATTGCGATGAGATGTGAGGTGTGGACATGGGAATGCCCCACAAGCATCTTGGAATTTGTTGACATTGAATTATTTTGGTAATCTATGATTATTTTATTTTTAAAATATTACTGTTAAAAATTGAATTAAAATTATATATTATTTAAAATTTTAAGATATAAATTATAAATTTTATTTTTAAGATTTCAAGATATTAATTTATATATTTTTAAGATGCCATAAATGTAATTAACTCATTAATTAAAGTGAGGATATCTTTGAAAATCTCAAGTTAAGCAAAACCCACCATCGACTTGATCAAGAAGTAGTAAAAGTGAACCTGATGAGTGGAAAAGTTAAAGACTTGTATTCAAAGTAGTTAAAACTGGTTGAACTCGTTACTCATCCCATTGCCAACTCTTAATATTGGTACGAGGCTTAAAATTAAAGTGTAATAGATAAGCAATTAATTGATGTAAAGGGTCTTGCTTCAAAATTTTGTTTCCGCTTCAAAAAAGTTTGCCTCTATCTTTCTATGGAAGAGCCATTATACCATTCAAGATTTACCATACCTCAAGCTCAAATTCAAGCTCCTCGAGATATACATGTATAGCCATCAAGTGTACAACCATACCTCTATATCAATCATTCAGCAAATCAACAATTGACCCGCTTGAATATTAATTCGAGAGCCATCTTAGTCGATCCCATCATGATGTCAAATCTTAATAACTCTGTTAAATAAAAAAGTCTCGTGAAATGTTGGAGCCTATTATAAACTCATAAATACGAAACAAGTATGATCAACTTGAAGAAAGGCTCAAAGCAATAGAAGAAAATGACATCTATGGAGTTGTTGATGCTAATGAGCTGAGCCTAGTACCTGACTTGATTATTTCACCCAAATTCAAAACCTCATATTTTGAGAAATACGATGGAACAAAATGCCCTGCCACTCATATTACCATGTTCTGTCGAAAGATGACAGGCCATACCCAAAACAACAAACTCTTGATACACTGTTTTTAAGACAGTTTAACTGGATCAGCAGCAAGATGGTATGTGCAGTATGATCAAAGTAAAATTCATTCATGAAAAGAGTTAGCCAAAACTTTTATTACTC